CCTTGCTAGATTGATATTTTTATCACAAAAATTTTTCAATTTTTTGTACGCAGCAACATTTTTCTGTGTGGGGCAAACTGTGGATTCAAAATACATCAAGTTTTTTCGAGCACACGCGTCTTCAAGCCACGGCAGAATAAAAGGCTTGGGGTTTTTCCTTTCATTCATCCTTCTGACATGCTTAGATTTGATTGGATACGCAGTGTTATAGTGCTTGTTGTAAATTTCGTTGAACTTATCATACTGCTCATTAGCATCCATGTTTGATGTTATTTGCTCCCAATTTTCAGCGCCGATCAGTTCGTAAAATTTTAAGTTATTAGCGGCGTTGAATGCACGTGTATCACGCTTTTGTGATCGTTCGGTTTTGGATCGATCATTAGCAGGACTGTAAGAGAAATCACCAAGAGAGATCGTAGTCAAGGTGGCAAAATGGTCTGAAATGTCAACTGTCAGGACATTGCAACTGAGAGTATGCTGAACATCGTTGCTGTAGACATGATCAATTAAGGTCCTGCTGTGACTTGTAACTCGTGTTGGTCGTGCAACAAGCTGAAAAAAACCGTATTTCGACATGGTGTCCACTAGATTTTGGCAATGTACATTGTTGCTGTGGTTTATGAGGTCTAAATTAAAATCTCCAGCAAACATTATGTGTTTTCTGTTGTGACGGTCTAGGCTTAATAGTACCGAATCAAGTAAAGCTATGAACTTATCGGGGTCACGTGATGGAGACCTATAAACGTCAACAATTAGTTTGGTTTTGTTGAGTCCTTTACAGTTGTTAATTTTCACCAACATGAATTCACCTGCCGATTTGGTGACCTCATCTACGTCCCGGAGATTAGGAATAAATTGTTCAATATTCTCAAACTCACACACACGCTTATTGATATAAATTGCAAGACCACCACCCCGACCCGAAGTTCTGTTTGGGCCCTTAGCTTAAGTAGAGGTTCATGGAAACCCTCTAGTAAAATATCAGTTACGCCATTGGGCAAATTGGATTCAATGAGATTGGTTTCGTTCAGACATAGGACATCGTACTTGCAGTATGTTTCTATGTTTTCTCGCAGGTGTTCAATATTCTTGATCAGCGATCGAATATTCAGTGAAAATAATTTCAGCTCGTTTGCTCCTGAGTTCTGTACGTGCTTCTGTTCCTTATATCTACATTCTACCAGTATATTTGAAATTTCATCAAAGTACTCCCTGTCCTGTTCATCATCAAGTTGATTACCTATATCATTTGCAATGTTTTCTCTATCATATGGATTAAAAAATAAGTCATGTAGGTGGCTGTAATCATCAAGTAGATGGTGTGGTTCGTAGTTGAAACCAGGAATCATAGATTCACAACATGTTTTACAACCTAACTCGTGTTTCATACACTTGGAATGTATACTTTTTCCACACCAGTTACAATATCTTAGGTTTTTTGGTGAATAGCACCATCCTGCACAGGAATTGCATTTAACTTTGAATACAGGCCCGAATGCAGGCTTCTCGACTGGTGAATGGCACGCATTGATAGGGAGGGCACTAGCTAAACAATCGTAACAGGTCCAAGAAAAGCCTGAAGATATTATGTGCAGGGAATCAGATTTCGAGAGTCTCATACATTTAGGATGCTTGGTGTCGTTGCAAAGTGAGCAAGTAAGCAGAGGCGCGGTTTTTGGAATACGTTTGTTACATTTATCACAAACTTTCGCTTTAGGTAAGCTTGACATTTAAAGATTGCAATTACCGAGATTCACCGATAAGTATTTATACCTGCAGTCTCTATATATAGATATACCAAGAGAAAGAAAAAGGAGGAGGAGAAAAGAGAGGAAGAAGTAAGAAAAATAAGAAAAATAAGAAAATTAATTTGATAAATCTAACGAGAACTTTCAGTTCTGTGTGAGAGATTATCGTCAAAAATTAAAAATTGAAAAACGAAAAACTGTGTTTACAATTTACTCTTTACTAGACTGAAACTTCTACTTTTTGGTTACCTAGCAACCGTAGAGATTCAGACATTTTATGTTGCACTTGGCAACAGCTTGCTTGTGTTGTTGTAAGTCACTAGTCAGTGTGTCTGTCAGTGTATCTGCACAGTGCAGTGCGTGTACAATGTATTTCACTGCCGAGTACATGGCACCGGAATCGCGTGTGGCAAATTACGTGTACTTAATTACTTTTTAATGTAAGTCGCCTTATCATCGGCGTTATCTCTCTAAAAAGAAAAGATTAGACATTTAATTCGCTACTCTTGCATCAAGTTACAAGGCCGAGCATAAAGTTTGTAGTAAGTATTATTTTGTTGGAAATTGATTTTGTTTCTTGTGTTCAGTGCTTTTCTAAAGACTTAAATATTTGATCACATACGATTTATACTTTGATCTCTAGATTGAAACTTTACTATTCTGTTAAATGGATTTATCGTTCATTTCCAGGACTGAGACTCTTCATGCAATTTCACAAAGTCATAACGTAGTGGTAAAGGGCCACGTCTAAATCCAAGGCAGACTAATACAACATGGACCCAGGTATCAGACGTGACTTTCTGTCTGCTGTAGTTAAAGTGTAGGCCGTCACGTGCTAGATGACCCCATCCGAACGATAGGTTATCAAACAGATGTATGTTGGCATGACGAAGGGAGCATTTAAACATAAGCTGATTGAAGAAGTTAATGTTCGGGTTCAGTTCATTGTACGGGTCTGCATTCATGGTCACGTTTGTAACGGAATCAAATAGAAACTGGGTTTTCGGATACTGTACGACAAAGTTTCTGACATGATCATGCAAAATTTGGGCGTTCACACCATTTTTCCTCATGTCGTTTACCCCAGCACTAATAAGAACTATGTCCGAGGATTTGATAGATTCTTTGTGTTCCTCAAGATCGCGCAGCAGGAAGAGATTTTCGCGGAAGGCAACTACGGGCGCTTTAAACTTGGAACAGTCGAAAGAAGAGTTTTTACTGTCTGATAATACTAACACCCGTTTGGGTCGCTGAGGTTCATTGGCGGGGATTTGTGGGATGTTAGAGGTCAATTTTCGAAGTGTTATACTAATTCTCGGCCTGTCAAAATTAGCAGGATCAACCTTGGGGACGGCATGGTCAAAACTATCCTGAGATTTACGTGACATGACGTAGCACTCGCCGTGCTTCACAGTTAAGCTCTGTTTGCGGTATTCGCCAGGTGGGCGGCGACGGAAAACAACTTCTCGAGCTCCCCCGATAGAAACTGTGAGAATATTACTATCTCTAGCTATACACTGTTCATCATCCGAGTGAGGGGGTATGTAATCGTCGGGGGTATCATACTTAGTCACCATGAAGCTATTGAACTCAGATAATAATCACTTCATTAAAGAATGAGTCGGTCCACTGGTCAAATTCCATCAAATCAAATGAAATCAACATCATTAAATTTCATTCTTAAAAAATCTCTGCTATGTCAAAAATTCCCGAATATAGGCTTTAAAATGATTCCAATCCTAGTCGTCATTCAAACGATCTGGAGATAACTTCAGCAATGGTCACCGTCCAGTTATCACGATTACAAACTTTATCATTAAACCAATCATCTAATAGATTGTCAATGCATCACTCGATTTAAATGAATGTACTTATTGTTACAGGTTTACTAGGTTGCCGTTTGGTGTGAGCAATAGCGAACAGCACGCACACTCCTTTGCCCCGTCAACCTATATCTAATCTATTTAAAGAGTGACAACCATACTACACATTGAATTATGATTCCTTTAAATATCAAATTGATTTATTGTAAACTTGTTTACTCTGTAATAAATGGCATAAAATTGAATTTTTGTTTAACTGAAAAAAAGAATTTTTGTTTAACTGAAGTGACCTTTTTCCCTTAAATAAAGTTAAGTAAAGTAAAGTAAACCGTACAATTTAGATAGATAAAATTGTACGGTTAACATTTTAAAAGTCTTAGTAGAATTTATTAAAAATCTCTCTTCCTTGGTAGTGCAGCCCATTGACAACTTGATATGCCTTAAATTTCTTTTTACAGTATGACTACTTTTCAATTCTGTCCACTCTTTGACCTTCGTTCTCAGTAGATCAAATTACAAATTTTGTTGACCATGTTATGTTATCAAAATCTGTAAATTAATTCGAACAGGTCAAATCTTAAATGTCATTGCCTCACTATTTTTTCAACCAGATCAACTTACTTCATTCATTTGATTTCCATGACCTTTCAATACTATATTTTAAGAGTACTCTTAACTTTATAATGAGAACAATTTGTATTCACTCTAAGGGTCGGGTCGAGTAGTAAAATCAGAGCTGTTTCAATAACTGGTGTGTCATATTTTCACATGTAACTATTGAAGTTCGATGACGAGTGACGACAACTCGTTCTTATTACTATCACATATACCCTCCTCTGATTGAGTAAACGATATTTTTAAAGATTCCACGTTTACTGTATCCTTAACCATTAAATCATACTTACAGGCACCTTCAATATGACTAATCCTCATGGAAAGCGACGTGGAACCAGGGACATGTTTGCCCGTGACTTCAGGAAACGTGGTCTGATCCCTCTGTCAACCTACATGAAAGTGTACAAGAATGGAGACATTGTTGACATCAAAGGTTGTGGTACTGTCACAAAAGGTATGCCATACAAAGTGTACCATGGAAAGACCGGCAGAGTTTACAACGTCACTAAGAGGGCTGTTGGTGTTATTGTAAACAAGCGAGTGAAGGGACGAATCATGGCCAAGAAAATCAACCTCCGAGTAGAACACATCCGTCATTCCAAGTGCAGAGATGATTTCCTCAACAGAGTAGTAAGGAACGAGCTTGTAAAGAAGGAAGCTAAAGCCTCAGGAATCTTCGTATCCACCCGACGAGCCCCAGTTGTCCCCAGATCAGCACATACAGTGAAAGGAAAGGGAATCTCAGTCGAAGAAGTGTGCCCAATTCGATATGAATTCATCGCCTAAATTTTTTGATTTTTTTTAACTTATGGAAATTTCGTGTTTTATTTTGTTATTCAATAATTACTCTAAATCCTGCAAAAATTAAAGTTTTTAGAACGTAACTAAATATCAAATAAAAAATGCAAATCAAACCTGCAAATGCTACTGTAGCTGCCTTCCTGTCAAGACCTGATTAGGTAATCCTACATAATGATTATTCTAGATTTTTAGCCATGATGGAAGCTGAGATGAGTAACGATGCAGGAGGGGTACCTGCTCCCACTAACGAAGAGAGGGTAGCTACAGTTACTGCAGTCGACCCAAGCGCACTTACTCCAACTGCTATGAGGGGTCTCAGGGACATCGGATCACAGGTTAGAAGTCATGGGAATTAGCGACTGTTTAGCATCAGGTTTAGCATCATGTTTCCTTGAAATTGTTGTTTTCTTAAACTCCTAAAACGAACCTTTCGATCGTCAAATTTTGTAATAGTTCTGTGTTCGATCTCTCAGCGACCATTTACTATCCTGCATATTTCATAGTTGTCTACTTTCCAGGCAACTTGGTGGCTGAGCACATGTAAACCGGGCTTTGGTGTGGATCATCTCAGAGACAACTCATTAGAAACATACTGGCAATCTGATGGACAACAGCCTCACTTTATTAACATAAACTTTAAGAGGAAGACTAGTGTTAAATCTATATGTTTTTATGTGGACTACAGACAGGATGAGAGTTATACTCCTTCCAGAATATCTGTTAGGTAAGAACTCAGCGCAAATCAATTGACTCATTACACTTTAAGTTCACACATTTCCGAAGTATTTATTAGATCTCCGTGCCGTACTCTTGTTTGAATTCTATCTTGATTTTAACGATATGAAGTTATAATATCGTATCAAACAGGGTCGGTAACAACATGTTAGACCTAGTTGAAGTTGCTAAAGTGGAAATGGTGGAACCTTCCGGCTGGATTAATGTCGACTTGGATTCTGGGAAAGACGATTCAGTCAGGGCCTTCATGTTGCAGGTAAATTTACTTTGAATGCAATAGTTTAAATTAACTTGCGCTGTACTCGGTCGTGGTCGTGACACCTTTATTTAATTTCCTACTAAGAAATTAGTTCCGACGAAATTGCGTTATTCTGAACCGGAATACATTTGTTTCATCCAAAACTAAAGTAACTGGTTTAGGTAGCGATATTATCAGTTATTCTGAACCGGAATACATTTGTTTCATCCAAAACTAAAGTAACTGGTTTAGGTAGCGATATTATCAGTTATTCTGAACCGGAATACATTTGTTTCATCCAAAACTAAAGTAACTGGTTTAGGTAGCGATATTATCAGTTATTCTGAACCGGAATACATTTGTTTCATCCAAAACTAAAGTAACTGGTTTAGGTAGCGATATTATCAGTTATTCTGAACCGGAATACATTTGTTTCATCCAAAACTAAAGTAACTGGTTTAGGTAGCGATATTATCAGTTATTCTGGACCGGAATACATTTGTTTCATCCAAAACTAAAGTAACTGGTTTAGGTAGCGATATTATCAAACCACCAGAACGGACGAGACACCCACCTACGACAGGTAAAAGTGTACACCCCTGCCCTCTCAACACCCTCCCAACTCAACCTCAACTTTACCAGCCCTCTACTCGCCCAGTTCAGGGACCTCAAGTAGACTAACGTGGTGGTGAAACGAGCGTTTGTTGTTAGTGTATGGTCTGCTCTGTCAGGTTTGTTTGATTGAAGACTCTGTTTTTTGCTTTTTAATAGGTTGTTAGATGATTACAAGCTTGATCTTATATGAAAGACCGTGATCTAGAGATGCGATTATGATAACTTTTGCACTGTTTTGTTTTTTAAAACTATTTAACTATTGATTGTTAATAAAGATCGTATTACAGGTACACTGGCACAGGGCCGGGCCTAATGTTGTTCAGTGATTAGAAGTGTAGTTTGTCTCTCATTCTTTCTAAACTGCTGAAATTCCAGGTACATAAAACAAACATATTACACATAATTTCATCAATTATGAAATTTTCATTTATGAATTTTTATTTTCATAGCCGAATATACAAATTTCACATTTAATTAATTAATTTATTTTAACGTCTACAGTCTAAATAAAAACTGGCCCTTGCAGGTACATTCAACTTCTGACCTTGGATTATCTGATTTGTAAGCTCAGAAACAATACAGTAGAGATATTAGAAGCAAAATCTATTAAGATCTACAGTCTACATACTGTGCGGAAGATACCAAACATTCTTTGATTTCATTGATTTGGGATTGACTTCAATATCAGAATACGATTTGACATTTATTAATAAATTTGTCTTGTGAACTTGTGGCCGTATCAGATGCCATTATATCCAATCATTATAATGATGAGTTAATATTTAAGTTTTTGTTGCTGGTGAATTTTCCTCTTTTTGTATTTCATAAAAATATAAATGTTTATATGACGTCATTGGATATTTATTTTTATTACGCTGTTTGTTATTTGACTTTTTCATTGCCAATATTGTTCGAATTTCTCCAAATTGTATTTCAATAAGCTGCTTACTTTGACTAAAAAGAAAATTGTTTATCAAGATTATCAAGAATTCAGTTCTTCAACGATACCATAGTTATATTAACGTTATACTAGTTTTACAATTTTTACAATTCTCACACCTATAATATAGGATATATAAGATGGGATCAGACAGGAGGAGATCCCCTGACCGGGGTGGACGAGGTGGTCCCATGAGAAACAACAGACGTAACGACAACCCAGGTGGACCCCGAATGGTTCCCTACACTCCCAAGAGGATCAAGGGTAGTTCCAATAAGCGGTGTTATGTTAACAACCTGCCTTACGATCTCAAGTGGCAGCAGTTCAAAGACCACATGAAAGAAGGTAATTGAGTCGGATTTTAGGTTTGAATTTGTAAAATAAGCAGGCTTCACAGATTATTAAATGCATTACATAACATCCAAATAGTAAAATTGAGAGCACGACTTAAAATCGTCTAACAATTCCTTTTCTCAGCTGGTAACGTTACATTTGTGGAGTTGTTTGAAGACGAAGGTGGTAAGAGTATGGGATGTGGCCTGGTGGAGTACAGCACTCCCGAGGAAGCTAAGAAAGCTATTGAGTCACTCAATGATTCCAAAGTCAACGGTCGCGAAGTCAAAGTTAAAGCTGTGAGTTTACTTTCCGTTATTAATCGTAAATTTGAGTAAATCTCAAGTTTTGTTTCCATGCACAACCGCCAATTTATTACTAAGACTCCACGATGCAGGGTATTATAACGGAGTCTTTAATTTATGTATTTCTAACGCTGTTCTTAAATTCAGGACGAAGTAAGGTTCTACCCCAAAATTCCTGACCCAATTGGACCCCCTCCTCAAATGGGTGGACATGGACATGGGCATGGGCACGGACACGGTCATGGTCCGATGGGACCTGGGCCAATGGGTCCCGGGCCAATGCATCCCATGGATATGGGGCCTCCTCCTATGCAACAACAAGCTGTCAGCAACGTTGTCTTCGTTAGCAACGTGAGTTTAATATGGTTTTTCAATTCAGTGCTGGATTTGTATAATCGATACCGTACATAATAAGATCAATTTCTATCGTTCCTTTACAAACTAACTAAAAATGGTACAAGCAGCTTAAAACTTCCACCCCGCAGCTGGCCTACGAGATCACACCCAAGTTCCTGCGCGACCAGTTCCGTGGAGCAGGCGAGATACTGCGAGTAAATCTGGAGCGAGACAAGGAAGGAAAGAGCAAAGGGTTCGGAACGGTCACGTACGCTTACCCTGACATGGCGCTCAGATGTATTGACATGTTTAATCAGAAGAGTATCAAGGGACGCAGACTTAGTGTTCGACTGGTCAGTTTTAATTGCTTGTAATTTCATCTGCTTTATCCCATTTTAGGCATATGTCCTATTATCGGAGTGCTGCTCGTGCATTTCAAATAAATAAATGAAAATGTTAACACCTTTTACTCTAATTTTGATTCCAATATGTTTCAGGACAAGTTGACTTCAGTCAGTGTACCGGGTCCTATGGACCAGGCCCTATGGGTCGGGTCCAATGGGTCCAGGTCCTGGTCATGGTCATGGTCACCACATGGGTCCAGGACCAATGGGTCCAGGTCCTATGGGTCCTGGACATGGCCCAATGGGTCCATCCTCGATGGGACCAGGTCCAATGAACCATGGTCATGGTCACGGACCCAACCCGATGGGACCGAGCCCAATGGGAAGTTCACACCAAATGGGGCCAGGACCAGTAGGTCACGGCTCGGGGAGTATGGGACCCAGCAGTGGTTCAGGAGGTCCTGGACCTGTTGACCAGCCTAGTGGGTACGGACAACAGTCTGGAGGTTACGGAGCTAGTCCTGCTGCTGGATCTGACCAGCAGTCTAAACTACTACAGGTAACATACACTAAAATAGAATCGTATACTTGGTATCTTGATAACTTTTAAAATGTTTCTTGTTGCTCAAGATGTCGATGGCCTAACAGTATAACATATGCAATATATAAACATTTAACACTTTTAAATGAAAAACTAAATTGCTACCACTCCTAGAGTATTGGACTCGCAGCTATCAGCTCCATGCTAGGAGGCACAGCTAACCCCATGTTATCCAACTTGATCAATAGTGCGGGAGCTGCTGACGTCAGGGGTGGTTCCTCTAGTGCTCTAGAGAACCTTCTAGGAAGAGATACCATGGAAGGTTTGATGATGTTTAATTTGCTTTTTTATTTTAATTATCTTCACAATTTCCACACACATAATAAAGTCCTTAACCTTTGATTTGTTGATTACCCGAACCCCTTAACTTACTTTCAAATCCTAAACCATTTGCAGGTCTACTGAAGACGCAAAGTGTAGGAGGATCAGCAGGTGGAGGTGGAGGTGGAAGTGGTGGAACTAGCGGTGGTGGTGGAGGTGGTGGTTATGGTGCTAGCTACTCTTCTAGCACCCCTTACGAGTCCTCTTCCCGATCAGAACATAAGGACTACTCCAGGTGAGGATTTAACTCCTTATCTGAATAGTGAACCCTACACAACCTGTTTAACATTAACAGTTTGTTTAAAAGCTGGATAAATCAGAAATCTGCTGACCGAGTATAAGACAGTTCTCCACCCCTCAGTAACAACTCTTACCCTTTCAGCAGTGGTCGGGATCGTGAGGAGAGGAGATCAGACCCGTACGGAGAGGCCAGGAGCTCTGGTAGACACAGTCCTGATCGGTACAGCAACAAGTACCGAGAACAAGTCTCCTCTAAAAACCAGATATTTGTCAAAAACGTGAGTAAGGATAGTTTATTGGTCCGTGGTGGTCGGTGACGGTACAATCCATGGTGATAATCTTAGAGTTAAATTGAGCTTTAGTTTATGGTGGTCCTCGCTCGGTCTGAGTTATAAATGTTCGGTTTGTTGTTTAAATCCAAATGTCCTTAGAATGTTCCGGCAGGTTTTATTTAGATTATGAATTGAATTAATATTGATTGATCCGATCCAGCACAAAATTCTATTCTGAGACTGTTTAGAATATCAGTTTTCGATCATAAACTGTTTAAATTCTTCGTAGATTGCACTTCCCTGAAATTCAAATGTGGGCATCTTTATCATGGTATCAATGCACTTCAAGATTCAAAATTTACAACCTTCCAATTGAACTATTTGAGATCGTATACATATTTTCGCTAATTTAGGTTTTTAACCTCCATTTAAGGTAAATAAAATGTCGTAACTTAATTTATATAATGACTTCCCATTCAAACTAACACATTTCCCTTGTTCCTAGATTCCCTTTAACATTGGAACGCAACAACTCCGAGATTACTTTAGACATTGTGGTCACATAGTTGATTGCTCCATTTTGATGGAAAAGGATGGTCGTAGCCGAGGGTGCGGCACTATTAGATTTGAAAGTGCAAGCGATTGCGAGCGTGCAGTCAGTATCCTTCATTGATAAATCAACCAAATTTCTACTTTCTCTATTTTAGGAAAATATTGTTTAGGCAGATCAATTTTTGATCTGAATTTTGTAAACTATATCAAAGTTTGAGTCTGTTCGATATTGAACATAAAATTGAAGACAAATAATAGATAGGTAGAGAAGGTTAATGTTCATAAAACAACTTTCGTTGTAAATGCTGACGCCAGTCTTTTCTCATCTACCCTAATTTTTAATTTAAACCTGAATAATTTGCACATCATGCTACCCAAATCGGGATCAGAACTTTCATCAATTCGAATGATTCGGATTTTACCTTGTCATATCAATATCATGTCATACATTTTGGTCCGCCACTTATTTCCAATGATGAAAGTTGAATATCAGTACTGAATATCAACAGTTTTATCGATTATATTCATTTGAAGGTTCTATTTATCAGAAATTTTAGCCTTTTCTCTGATCCAATCTTGCTGAATAATTCAGTGAAGATACTATGAAAATTTTGTGAGCGCAATTTTCTCCTGTGGCTGGCTGATATAGATGGTTATATAAGTTTTTATTATGGTTGATAAGAATTTGCTATTGAAGCACAGAAAATGGGTCTTACGTATTATGGCCATGGTAAATTGTGTTTTAAAGGGGGGATTCAAGGCGACATTTATAATCTCTGGATTTTCATCCGATATCCATGAGGTATTGTTAGGCAATATCTTGAGTCAGATTTACCTATCTGGTTGCCTGCATGTGTGTATTGGGTTATGGAACTATAACTCTTAAAAAGCATATTCTATTCGATTATCTTCATTGCAATCATCATCTGTCCACTCGAGGTGATCCAGCGGTATTTTCCTCGCCTAAAAGTGATGCTACCATGTTGACATTTCCCTATGAGTCAGGGACTACAAGTTGTCACCCAAACTCTCTAGTCATATTAGCATGCAACATGTATCTTAATAATTCTGAGGTATCAGCCAGGCCACAAGTTTCCCGTGCATTCCTACAATACAAGGCGCGTTTGCTCGTTTTATTTTCGCGTTAAGTGTCGCCCAGTTTTACCTGTCAATACATTTCCAGAAGTTTTCTTAACTCCGAGATTTAGATATGTTCCACAGATCCAACTACAAGGTCGAGAGATCGAGGTCAGGCTTGACATTAGATCTAGATAGCATCTAGATAGTATCCCGGAGATCTTACACAATACCCCTAACATCTGGTATCTTGTGGCAATCTTATATATATCCTCAATCTCATCTGACGATTATATTATCATATACCTACCGAACAGTTCCGTAAATTAATCTTATCTGATAAGACTTGAATCACATAACTTTATTGTTGCCGGACTGCTGTAACCAGGTTTGTTGATTTTGTTTTACACGTTCCCCGCTGACACCTGTTTTTTTCATGATCTTTAAATCATTATTATGTTTAAAAGCTGAGTATGTACATAATATTTGTCATGAGTTGGTCTCATTATTATTATAAGTACAATTCTATCATTGCTGTACACTTGAAGATGTTAGAATCTAGATTCGTCTTCATTTTTCTATGTTAGATATGGTTCATTAGTTAACTGACCGATGATGCAGTTGCGTTTTGAACGAAGTTGAGAATTTTGAAGGAGTAACTCAAAACGTGTGTATTGCTATGAAATTAATATTTTTGTAACATTTTTTTTTATTCTTTTTATTTAAAAGTTAACTAAAAAATGTATAAATTCTTCACTATTTTAAAAAATTTACCATTTATCAGTTGTATTACCGAATGTTTAAAAATCTTCATTACGAATTAAAAAAGTTAAGTTTGTTATAAAAAAAAAGTCATTTTATGACAATTTCCAATCATTTAAAAGTAATAGCTATTTTTTTGAAATCGGTGGTTTCAGGATGAATTTCAATTGTTCAATTTTTAACCAATTGAGGAATTGAGCTATATCCAGTTTGAACATCTTTAAATCCACCGGTTAGTTCATCTGTCCCATTTTCAAAGCATAAAAGTTCCGTAAATTTGTCTCAATGTAGCTGGAAAATTCCCCCAAATTTGGTTAAAATTCCCAAAAATTTTAACTAAAAAGTGGACGCTGGGGGGTTACTTTTAGATAATAGATAGAAGTAAATTTCATTGTTCGGGGTTTTAGCTTACAAATTAAACCCCAATTAAAGTCCTGGGTCTTTGAACAAGAAGGAAGGCAGCCTTTGATTGCAAACCCGGTTGCATTTTAGCGCCCTCTAAAAGGTTCTTATTCTTTCTATTTAGAGAACAGGTAAATCTCCCCTTTTAAATTTTAAACTAGCTTTCTAGTCTGTTCTTAAAGGCCCGGTTTTTTGGGATTGGAGCAAGATTTAAAAATCGATTTCGTTCAAATTTGAGTATTAAGTGTTCATGACAAATTTCCTGCCATTTTGAATTTACAAAGATCTACCTTTCATGTACAATTATTTTATTAAGCTTAAAATCTAAAATTTTCCCGTGCGGTGATATTAACAACAAACCGTTATTTGCATTTAATTTTTTCCCAGAAGTTAACCCCAATTTTGCTCGAAAGCCCCTCGGAGTTTTATAAATTAATTTTTTTTTTAGTTGTTCAAAATTTCAAAATTCAAAGTTTAAACTGTATTTAAAATTTAATGTGGATAGGGGGTTTTTTAAATATTATGGTTTAATAACGATTTTTTGTGTGTCATCTTCAGTTTTTTGTTACGAACGATTGACCGAAACTGAGACTTCACCTTTTTTTTTGAAAAATCTAGTCAGTAAATGCTTTGCTATATTTCTGAAAGACTTTTTTTCAGAATTTTTTTGCGTAGTTATTTTTACGTTTCTGTCTTGATAAGAATATGGGCTAGATGAAACTTGAAACCTTACATTTCAAACCATTCAAAAAAGAAAAAAAACCGTGAATGCGAAGATCAATGCAAAACGCACCAGAGGAACTTTCGATCCAGTAGCTCTACAAATAATGTTATTTTTCGCCCTGAACCGTTTATCGGCTACAATGTTTAAAACATGTATATATGCACAATGAATAAATTGTTCTTTTGTTTATACATGAAAAAATCTTTTTGGCTGGATTTTTTCATAAAAAAAACTGTATTTGGGAAGGATTTTTTGTCATGTTAGCTATTTAATTAAATTAATAAAACTTTTTGATTTTGTTAACTATTCGAATCTATTTTTACACATTTTCCCATTCGGTCCAACGTGACACTGTTTTATGCGGGCGGGCGCGATGACAAAAAATGCTGAAAGAACACTTTTTTACGCATTTCAGAGGCATTTTTTAGCCGCCACGAACTTTTCTCCCTCAACGTGTTTAAACGTAAATACCGGACCCCCATGGTTTTGTTTTTAACCTTGGTCACTTAAACGTACTGGTTTTTGACCTACTCATCCCTTAATGTTCCCAAAAAAAAACAAAGTTTTTTTGAAGTTTGTTTTCATTTGAACCCCTCAAGTAGGTCTGAGTTCAAATTCACTAATTACCAAGTCGATTTAAAAAGTGTTAGAAAGGAAGATCAGTTTTAGCAACAAGTGGGTTTTAATCCCTATTTTCACCCCGAAACATAATTTCGTCTAAAATTTTCCAGATTTAAAAATCCGGGGGAGCGCTAAAATTAGGGTAAAACTGAATATATGGGTTTACAATTGGGCCTTACTTAAGACGTCCGAAAATCACAGATTTTCGACCCCCCTTCCGATGGTCCGAATTTTAAAAACCCCCCCTCCCGGATTTCGTTACTTTTAAAAGTCATTAAATTTAAACAAAAACCAAAGAAAATTTTAAAAAAAAAAAAGAATTTTCGGCAATTTTGTCAAAATTTCCGGGGTTTTAGAAACCCAACCCCCCCCCCCCCCTGTCAGGATTCCGAAATTCCAAAAATCCCACCCCCCCCCCCCCCCCTATTTGCCGGATTCCTAAAAGTGGCCCCCTTAGTTACTGAATTACGGGGTTTTTTATATCACGATTGCTATATAATAATTTTGTGAAGATGAATTAATCGAAGCGTCAGACACTAGCCACGCTATCGGTATACTTTAGTAAAAAAAAGAAATAACAAATTTTTTATTAAAGTTACAAGTTTAATCAAATAATCATAAAAAATTAAAATTGTCTCTACAAAACTTCCCGCTGTCAGCGCAAAAAAGGGGGGGGGGGGGGGTCAACCCCTTTTTACCTCATTCGGGCAGCCAAAAAAAAAGGCAAAATTGGGAGGAGGTAAATGAGGTAATTAAATTTTTTTTTGACCCTTTTTTTGAGAAAAAAAGGTTTTTCGAAGTCGGCCTTACTAATTTCCTCGCCCAAAAATTTCCCTGCTTTGGTTTTTTGGTTTTGCAGCCGTAAAAAAAGGTTTTCTTAAACTTATCCCAACCCTAACCCTTCCAAACCCCGAAGCTAACCATAACCCTTACCCAACCCTAACCCCAACACGGCCCTAAAAATCGAATTCGTATTTTCTGCCCGTACGTGACCAAAACGGTTTTTTGGCCCCCTAAATCTCCGGGAAGCATTTTAAACCTATGTCATGGGGGTGATTGGAATTCCGGCCCCAAAAATAAAAAACTGTTCCGTTTCCCTTTGTGCCCCAAGGGCCCTTTTTTCGGGGAAATTTTCTTAAATTTGGGGGGCGTTTTTTGGGCGTTTTTGAATATTATTTTTTTCGAGGCTGGTGGTTTTTGTTTTTGGTTTTAAAAGGGCCCAGGGGTGATTTGGGGCTTTTGGGAGGGGCATTCCAGTTTAAAAGTAAACATGACTATAAATTTTTGCCCAAATTTTCCTCTTTTACCTATTTGGGCAACCAAAAATTGGGATGAGGTAAAAATGAGGTAAAATTTTTGTTTCTGACCTTTTTTTGTACAAATTTTTTTTTTCGAATTTACCTCTTTTTACCCCATTCGGGGAGCCAAAATTGGGATAGGTTTTAAAAAAGGTAATAATCTATTTTTTTGAGCCTTTTTTTTGAGACAAAAAAGGTTTATTCGAAGTCATTATACTTAATTCGAGGCTGTGTGTCATGGGGGACCATGACAAAGGCTGTGATGGTTCCCCTATATTTTAAAGGTTTTTTTGGGGTTTTTGCATATGTGGGCCCGGGAAGGGGCATTCCCGTTTAAATTAATCCGTCTAGATCTCCAATTTTTTCCCAAAAAATTTTCCTTTTACCTCTTGGGCAGCCAAAAAAAAACAAATTGGGATGATTAAAAAAATGACCCCCCCCCCCCCCCACAAAAAAAAAAAAATAAAATAGAAAAAATGGTCTAGCATTACCGGTGAAACCCCAAATTTTAGGTTTACAAAACCACGAGATAGCGCCGAGTGGACCTTTGACTCTTTGAAAAATTATTTTCGGAAAACCCCTTAAATTAAATCAGAATGTACAGTTTTGGGTTTTTGTCTGTACAATCCAAAATTTAAAATTTAAAGAAATAATTTGCCCCCATAAAAGGATAAAAAAATTTTCAAAAAAAAGTCGAGAGCCCTAGTACTTTCATTCAAATTACTTAA